CATGCGCTACCACGCCCAGCTGATTTTTTGATTTATTGTAGAGATGAGGTCGCGCTGCCCCGGCGGGTCTCAAACCCGCAGGCTCAGGCAATCCACTCATCTCAGCCTCCCAAAGGCGCAGGATTACAGGCTGAGCCACCGAGCCCAGTTTAGTAATGCTATTACTATATTAGTTTAGAAATGACTTCCTAGCAAAATTCAGTGTATTAATAACCCATTTCAAATGATTTTACTAATGACATTGGGCCATGAGATTTTTTTTTTTTTTTTTTTTTTGAGTTGGAGTCTCACTCTGTCACCCAGACTGGAGTGCAATGGCCGCTCCCGGCCACCGCAGCCTCGACCTGCTGGGCTCCAGCGATCCTTCCACCTCAGCCTTCCTCCTCAGCCTTCCAAGTAGCTGGAATTACAGGCATGCGCTACCACTCCCGGCTGATTTTTTGATTTATTGTAGAGATGAGGTCTCGCTGCCCAGGCGGGTCTTGAACCTGCAGGCTCAGGCAATTCACTCACCTCAGCCTCCCAAAGGCGCGGGATTACAGGCTGAGCCACCGAGCCCGGCAAGGGCCATGATATTTTATAGAAAAGTATGAAGAAGGGTTAGAATGTTTCTAAACTCATTTTTTCTTGAATAATGCTAAACTAATATAGGTTTTCACATGGATTTCAGAAACTGAATGCTTTTCCATCTTCCTGAGGAAGAAAAAAATAGACTTCAGAGACATGTGGAGCTGATGTCTATTAATGAAAATCCAAAGCTTTTAGCCTATTATTTCAGCCATCAGTGTGGTAAAAGTGCCACAATCCTCATGGAGGGTGTAGAAGTTGTGTAGCAAACTAAAGTGCATACGAGTATAGATTCCTTGCTGTTATTTAAGGCATTTAACCTGCCCAACAGTTCTGATAGATTCTAATTCTGAAGTGGTTCCAGAATTTTCTCTAGGTATTGAAACTGTATCCTTAGGTAGCCAGATTCAGCTTACATGTAAAAAAAAAAAAAAGCTTTAAAATAACTTTTCCTTTATAAGAACTATTTTCCTGATTCCCAAATTGAAGAGAATGATAGTCAGTGTGGGAGTTGAAAATAATCATTTCTGTTATTGGCTTAATTCTGTGGATATTATTTATAGTTGTCCAACCTGTAACACTGACCAAGCTTTATGATATCTCCATAGAGACTGCCTTGGCCTATTTAAAGTGTTGTTTCTTTGGGGTGGGAGCAGTAGGCCAAGTTCAAGTCCCAACTCGGAATTTGTATGTGTCTCTTTTGAAGGGGGGAAGGGACTCTGGAATATGAATTATCTTCACTTGTTAATCCTGAACATGCTTCTGACTCATGAGTGGCAGCAGTCATGGGAGCAACTCCAGCCTTTCTCAGCAGATGTCACTGTTACTGTGTATGTTGAAGTATTTACAAAGGAAAAAAAGAAACAAATGACTAATAATAGAGTTCATGTTTATCAATTAAATATATTTAACAACATATATTTAACATTTTCTTGACTAATACCTTCTTTATATTTAAGGGATTTAGTATCTTTTAGACTTGAAGTGATTACTAAGTTTAAGATGACGTAGCAGCTTCGGATGAAGAATGCTGTGTTTTGTCTTTGCCCAAATTGAATCTGAATCATATTTCTGCTTTCATTGCCATTGTAATTTTCTGGCAACTGAAAGTTAACTTAAGTCTGATTCCTTATTAATGAAACTTGACTTTATTCAGGTATTCGGGGGATTTTTAGAAGATGCTTTGCTTCATGAAATTAGATTTTTTTCCCTCACTTTTCCACCCTTTTACAAATGGTATTATTAAAATTAAATTAACTTGGTAATGATCCTATGTTTCCTCACTGAGAAAAGTTTTTACTAATTGTAATCAAATATTTGATAGCTCTTAATTTTTCATAATTAGGAAATTGAGTTAAATATAAATAGGAAAGGAATTTTTAAATAAGTGACTTTGTTCTCTGTTGGAATTAATGTAATTTCTCAAAGCCAATAATTTTTATTTATTTGTCTTAATAACTCCTGGTTTGAATTAAGTTTCCTTGAAAAAATGTTTTGCAGGTTAATGAATCAAAAACTATTTTAAAACTTTGCGATTTTGGATCAGCTTCACATGTCGCAGATAATGACATAACGCCTTATCTTGTCAGTAGATTTTATCGTGCTCCTGAAATTAGTAAGTTTCTTAATGTTCTTTTACCTGGGCCTTCATATATGGTGGAAACAGCATATTTAATGTCTAAGCACTGTTTTCCATCACACTTAAGCAGCTGTACGAGTTCATTCATAAGGAAGGGAACCATAGCAAGTTCATCCTTCTCAGGTGGAATGAAGGTAGTTGTGACAGGAGTCTTGATCATGTCGGACAAGAGTAGCAAAGCAGTTGTGGAAAATCCTCGACTTTAGAAGACTGCTCTTGATTGTTCAAGGTCTGATTATCACATTTATGGACTGTATGGGACCTTTGTTTTTTCTTTTCCTGTTGCCTTAATTGAGGCTCATTAGCAAGCACCTCAGCCAAAGGTGAAATGAAAAAAGAGAAGGAATATATATATATATATTATTTTACCCCTTCAGTTCCTCTTCCACATCTTCATTTTTTAAATTTTTAAAGAGTTTCTGTTAAGAATTAGTGGGAAAGACTTGAAAATAATTGTATTAAGATTGTAGATACAGTCCAAGCTAAGTTAATCCCCCCATAATGAAAATAAAAATTTAGTCATTTATTTTTGTCTTCATATACTAAAACTTTCATTTTGTTTTCAGTTATAGGTAAAAGCTATGACTATGGTATAGATATGTGGTCTGTAGGTTGTACCTTATATGAACTCTATACTGGAAAAATTTTATTTCCTGGCAAAACCAATAACCATATGCTGAAGTTGGCCATGGATCTCAAAGGAAAGATGCCAAATAAGGTAGGACATTAGCATAAGCTTACCTTTTCAAGGTCTTAGTTTCTTATAAATCAATAAACTACTCACACTTTATGACTAGGGAGCTAGAAATTTCAGAGGGTTGGATCAGTGGCTAACATAATTTCTTACCTTCTTTCCCATTTTTGTTACTTAAATTGATGGTTCTGATCAGCATCAGAAGAGACACGCATTTTTCAATGATGGGCAGAGAAGCAGCACTATTCTTGGGACCTTTCTTTAAAAGTTATGAGTATGTTTGTGAGATAGAATGAAAAAAGATGCAGATCAGGCTAAAGTTTAGGGAATTTCTTAGTGGTCAGAGAATGAATAGATGAATATTGTAAGAGGAACTTGATGGCAATCAGTTGATTAAAGATTGGAGGTTATTGGGGAAAGCATGGTACCAAGAAAATTGAGATGACAGCTAACTCATTGGTGCTTTAGCTACAATGCCAATTTATGTATAACATGAAGCAAGAACTTTAGGCATGTATTAAAGTGTCTGAGGGCCATGTCTTAGCTTTTTAAGATTTCAGCTTATTTTGGTAAGTTTCTGAATGATTTACAGATTTTTCTCCTGATAGGTCAGAAGTCATGGTTTCTAGATATTGTCCGAATGCTGTTATGTTGGACTTGTTGAGAAGAAGTGACACTGAAATTAACTATATTGGTATTTGTTTTAATGAAGTCTGACCTGTATCATATTATGGCTGTTGGAACATACTTTGTAAAATGTCACTAGGTTTCCTAACTGCCAAGTTTTAAAAAAGCCTCAATTGTGTAATATTTTTAAGAGTAAATAACAAATGATTTTAAGTCTTTAATTCCCAATTTTCAAAAGTGAAAACACAACTCAATGTTACTGGTTTAAGTCACTGCCTGGGAAAATATAACTTCTTACTATTAAGTAGTTTTAGGTACAGCACTTTACTAGCGCTTTCAAAGATGTTAATAAATTCCCGAGAGCAAGGGAATCTGAGATCAAGCAAACCCACAGAGATTAAATAATATATTTGTGTGACTTATATGTATTAAATTGTTAGTAGGCCATACTGTTTCGTAATAGTTCAAAATCCAAGTTTTTGTTTTATTTTGTAGATGATTCGGAAAGGTGTATTCAAAGACCAACATTTTGATCAAAATCTCAACTTCATGTACATAGAAGTTGATAAAGTAACAGAGAGGGTAAGTCTGCTTTAAGTGCTCCATTAGTTATTAAAAGAACACTAAAAGTAATTCTTTTTCACTTTTGGCCAGTTCTTGAATAAAGCACATCAGGCTATGGAAAATATGAAGGAATTTTAATGGTTTTCTAGTGTAATAAAGTCGTATTTCGGCCCTCGTCACCTCTCTCCTGGATTACTTTCTTGATCTGGCTTCTCACCCAGCTTTTATACAGCTGGAGTGATCTTTCTGAAAACAAATTGTTACTCTCCCTGCTTAAAACCATTTGTTGGCTCCCTGTTACTTATAAGATAATATTTGAGTTCTTCAGAATGATAAATCAAGTTCTTCATAATATGAACTCTGCCTTCCTAACCAGTTTCCCCTCCTCACTGTACTCCATAAATCTCATCGTTCCACACTTGACCAGAAGGCATGCTAGCTTAGACCTCTGTTCTTTGCTAACAGACTTCCCTGAGCTTACTTGTTTCCTATGCTGTCTCATTCCCTAAAAAAAGAAATTTTTTGACTAAAAGCTTCACCTGAAATATGTGTTCTATGTGAGCCTTTCTAAAACTTACGGGTTAAAGTAATATTTTCTTATTCTGCCTTATCTTTGTCAGAGTACTTCGTAAACACATCATGGTATCAACTTGTTTTCATGTCTGTCTCTTACCATTTCATGAAAAAGAAAGTACAATTCACACAGCGTGCTTACTGTTGGTTTTCATTGCTAACTTGAGGTTGACCTTTTTCATTTAAATTTTTCTATTGCTTCTTGAAAAGATGTAGATAGAGAAAGCAACATAAAATGTTAAATGTGTACATGATAATGACAGGGACCCATACTGAGAAATGCATTGTTGGATGCTTTTATCATTGTGTGAACATCATAGGACGTACTTACACAAACCTAGATGGTGCAGCCTGCGGCACACCTGGGCTAAATGGTACAGCTTATTCCTTCTAGGCTGCAACCTGTACAGCAGGTTATTGTACTCAATACTATAGGCAGTTGTGACAAATAAATATTTGTGTCTCTATACATAGAAAAGGGTTAGTACAAACACGATATTCTAATCTTATGGGACCCATTGTGTATGCAGTCTGTTGTTGCCCAAAATGTTATTATGAAGCACATGACTGTATGTGTATTTTTATATCTGTGTATTTTTGATAGACTCCAAAATAGTCTGCTTTAAGTTATACATGTTTAGTAGCTTATTTAGAGATATGCATTTTAAAAATTATTTTTAGGAGAAAGTTACTGTTATGAGCACCATTAATCCAACTAAGGACCTGTTGGCTGACTTGATTGGGTGCCAGAGACTTCCTGAAGACCAACGTAAAAAAGTACACCAGCTAAAGGACTTGTTGGACCAGATCCTAATGTTGGACCCTGCTAAACGAATTAGCATCAACCAGGCCCTACAGCATGCCTTCATCCAGGAAAAAATTTAAGCGAGATGAAGAAACTCCAAGGGTTTGAGTAATTAAATACAAAGACTGAAGAAATTTCACAGCAGTTTATTAATGTATATAAACTTATAAATATTTCTCCAGCAAATTTGAGGAAGCATGATATATTTGAATTAACACCAAGGGTGATATTTCTTTTAGAAATGTTAGTTAATCTGTTTTGTGTCTTATGTGAAATTTCACTGTAGAACTGTTTTAATTGCCAAGACTGCACAAAATTACAGTGCTAATGTATATGATTGCAGTTCACATAAAAGACAAAAAAGCATCTGTTATAAAATGAGTAGTAATATTGGGTGGTTGATTTGTTTTTAGCAGACTTGGCTTCATTTTGGTCTTCAGATTAAATGGCCAGCATAAATGCTGTTTATATTCACGTTTTCCTAGGTGTGTGTGTGCAGGCCACAGCAGCATGCCCTTGGTGTAGTCAGTGCCGAAAGGGGGTCTGTTCCTTCTTGAGCCTGCCTGCAGGGATGGTCTCCTCTTTTAAAGCAGGTTGTGTACAACATTCAGTACACTGAAGGTAAGCTAAACCATCAACATCACTGGTGTTTTAAGATGTTATTTTATTGGAACAATTGACAAATGAGGGATATTAGCTTTGTGGCAGAATTCCCTGCATGTGTGGTAACTGATCTTATTTTATTTTTTGGCATTGCAACTGTGGCATAGTTACAATTTCTGTTCTGTTCATTACATTTAAAATTGGAAGAGTACGCGCTTGATGGATAGAGCGCCTTCAGTGTACTGTTTCTTAATAACTTTACTTTTTTAAAATCAACTTGCTATAGACTTTATATACATTTTGTTAAATACAGTTCCTAGTGACATAGAAACAATGCGTAGTTTTCATTTACTAATTACAAATCTTGAGGCCTAATTCTGAAAGTCCTCATATTTAAAGGTTAGATAGACAACGTAATGAAATTTTTAACTATTTGTATGTCATTTTGGAAGTGTACTGCTTTATGGTAAAAGTGTTTTTCATTTGTTCATTGTTTTCATTATTTGTGATCATGTTGTCTTTCAATACAGGCATAAACCTTCCACTCTTGAACAAAGCAGCTGCTTTTTAAAAGCGGTAATTGCTTCTTTACCTTTTATTTCTTTTGTAAATGAAGCTTTTCTTTAAGAATGTGACTTTAAAGTGTTGTCTATTGCATAAAACAGTTGACACTCACTTATTGTAAAGTGAAGATTGTTCTACTGCATGTGAAGTGGACCATGCAGATTTCTGTATGTTCTCAGTATGCATCACTAGATAATAAAGTCTTTTTTGTGAACAAGGCATTTGTAGCCATTTTTAAAAGATTTTGTCTTCAGTGCTGGTAAGTCAGGTAAACCATAAATAGTTAAAAGCAACCTTTTGGTTTTTTTTGTTTTTTTGAAAATCTTTAGTTGAAAGCATTATTTATTAAAGATGTAAACCTAGCCAAAAGTTTATCATTTATTAATGATTAGGATCCTAATTATTTCATCAAAAATCTACAAATATTGTCAGCTTTCAGTGTAGTGAGATTATTCCTGTAGGTTATAGGTATAATTCAGGATTTAACTAATGTTTCTGCTATTTTCTCACTTTTCCTTTTGATGGTGCGGAAAGAGAAAAAGGAAAACGGGGCACAGGCCATTCAACGCGTTCTCCAAGGGGTCTGATTTGCTGAGACACCAGCTTCACCTTCTTAACAAGGTTATTTCTGACAGCATGTGTAGATAAACATTTAGCAACAATTTAAAACAAAGTCATGTAAATCAGCTTGGTTGTGCAACACAAAGGAATTCGTACTTTTAACATGATGGAAGAGAATTTTTGAAAGTGTGTGTAATTTTTTCTGTTTGGGGGGTAAATTAATGTTTGTCTCCCTGAGAAATATGAAAAATAATCAGATTTTAGGAGTTTAATATTTTAAAATTGTAAATGGGATTTTTTTATTCACCCAGGCACCTAATTACAACAAGCATGCACATTTTGGTGCATTCAAGAATGGAAAATCAGAATAGCAGCATTCTCCTGGTGGGTTTTGCTCCATTTAAAGACATGAAATGAACTCCAGCCAGGAAGGTGATAGATGATATAATAAGCCAACTCTGAGCCTACACCCCGTGTCTCCATGGTTTAGACTTTAAAATAAATACAAGGTGATTTTCATCTTCAGGTAGAGTGAAGCCTTTTAAATAAGGCATCACAGGTGCAGCTTTCACCTTAATGAAATGGGTAGTGATTTTCCCACCATTATTTACCTTATTCTAGTGATAATATGCTGCATATTCAATTCTTTTGTAGTTATTTTCACTTGAAATAGTTAACATTTTGATGCTTTTGGTGATGTTTCTGGCTTCATGATATATAATTTTTTAAGTAAGTTATTTAATTTCCATTAGAAACAGTTCATCTTATGCCTTCAAAATTATTACCTATTCTTTAAGAAACAAAGTTGCTTGTTACTTGTTCTTTGTGTTTTAGGTGCAGCTCAGTGGAAGATGATGGCAACCAGAAGACATGAGCTAAGGTTTCTGTCCTATAAAAGATTTAAAAAAAGAATCCTTCATTTAGTTTTTGTCTAATTTTTTAGTTTTCAGCATTATGATTTGGGTTTCATTAGTGTTTGGTATTTAGAATAGTAGTGCTAATGTGGTGTTCATCTGTAAAGTGCTTGTTTTAATCATACTTCCTGCCTCTCCCCCTCTTCCCTAATTCCTGTTCCCCTAAAATAATAGTAGCCAAATTTAGTGATATAAAAGACTGTTGGATGGTGGTATTTCACATAACACATCGTTGTCAAAATTGGTGGTAAAACAGCAGCCACCAAAATGGCATATGTCTAAAAGTAGTCTTCAGCTTTAGGAAGTTGCAAAAGAATAGAAACTGGAATCTTAACACAATTCCGCTCCTTTAGTATCTATTCACCAGTTTACCCTTTAGTAACCTTGTTTTTAACAAGCAGTCCAGTCTTAAAGTCGACAGAATATTCAGAGCCATTGTCAGTTTCTCTTAAGGGAGATGAGAAATGTGATACTGTAGACTTTTTATATTTGCAAATTTTGCATATCTAGACTTATCTATTTGATAGGAACCCAATAAACTCTTATATACATATACATGATGCCATTAGAATATGTAATATTTGTATAATGGTATGTGGTAGAGGTAGTGCAATGTAGTATCCTCAGTTCCATCTTTGCATTCCTCCTACTATGATAAAAATTACATATTTTATCATTGTTTGTAAGCAGATCTCTAGCTGTGTGGGTAGAAATAAAATCTCTAAAACAATTGGATCACACACATTAAAATTTAGGTCAAGTAGTTAAGAAATGCCCTTTTAAATGTTGGGGATAGAAGCCATATATTCAATATGTAATTTCCCTTCTTTAGTTGTAGTGAGGTTATTACCAATTGGTCGTAAATGTTTCTTAATAGTATCCTAGTTCTAGCATATAATTCAACATGAATTGTATCATTCTCCTAGATGGAATGTCTTATAATAATATTCACAACAAATTCATTTGTGTTTTTTACATGTCAGTAATATACACTAAAGTGACTTGAAAATGTTTTCCAGTTATTTTGGTAGATATTATGGCATCCTTAATTTTTTTTCTCCTTCTATATATAGGGTAAGGGACTGTTCTTCTGAAGAATCTTTCCATTTAGTGATCAAGATATGGACAGCAGATCTCTGAAAGTGCTCAATGTATATCCCAATTGTTCGTGGTACCATCTGAATTGTAACTTGCATTTTAGCAATGCATGTTCCCAGTGGACTTATTGGGAAACTTAATAAAATAAAATTTGCCTCTTGTTACCATATTGTCTCTTGGTTTTTTTATTTAGCATGAGTTTGGATTTTCCTCACAAACATCAAAACATTTTTAAAACATTAAGTGCAGAACACCAAAGCATGTGTTATTGGTATTTCTGTTACATGTATTTCTGCTTTGGCTTTCTTAGTAGTTGAAACACAGTAATGAGCTGAGTCCCTGTTTTTAAAGATACAAATAAATCGGTTCATTGCCAGTGTGGAAGCCTGACACATCTTGAGCTCTCAAGTCTGCCCACTCCTTATTCTTTTGAGGAACTGTTTTCGACTTTTAAGAACAGTGAATAAAAAAAATAAGGACAGGGAAGTTATGTGAATCTCTAGTGCATACAAAGCAGAAATAGAGCAGAGGGGTCAAAATGGCTTTGTAGGATACACCCCTTGCTGAGTGGCAGGTAAAGATGAGTCTGCTTGAGTCCTTGGTTTCTAGGAATTGGATCAAATGGCACTGGTTCTACACCCTTCTTGTAAAGGCCTGGTTGTGATTTTCTTGGACCGGCAGGGGACCGGCTGCGTAATTACCTATCTCAGGTGGCTGTGAGATCATTGTATCCCATACACTTTAGGGAAAGTAGTATGTAGGGCATACTGGTTGAGGACCTTTCACACATGGCTTTCTATGATTAGAAAGATTTGAACTGAGGATCCAGCAAAGCCAAGAAATATCAGTTACTGGAAACCTAAACATGGGTGTTTATGAGCAAACCAAGTTAAATAGTCCTTACCAAGTTTGTTATAAACTGACAAATGTTTTCTTCTTTAAAGATAATGGTAGAAGTTGACTTCCAACTGATCTGAAAAATAGCCAAGTATTTTGTTTCTTAGTTCATTTTTCAGTTTTTGCCTCAGTGGTAAACTTTTCACTGAATTATTATGTATTGCCTATTTGAATCAAGTCTTTCCCCCATCAGTCTTTAGGATGAACTTGAGATGGTACATCTCTAGGCCCTGCATACTTGTAGCTTCTGGCCTCATTCCCTTTGTCTGTGGCCACTCCTGCTCCTGGCCTCCTTGAAAGCTAGTCTGTGTCTTTATTACTCCACTCCGTTTTCTTGTACTTGGCACATGCCTTTCAAGAAACAGGATGTTAATATGTCAGCTAATAGTTGACTGGGTGCAGTGGCTCACGCCTATAATCCCAGCGACTTTGGGAGGCCATGGTGAGAGTTTGCTTGAGCTCACAGGTTCAAGACCAGCCTGGGTAACTTGGCGAGACCTCACCTCTACGATAAGTCAAAAAAATTAACTGGGCATGGTGGCACTTGCCTGTAGTTCCAGCTACTTGGAAGACTCAGGCTGAAGGATCACTTGAGCCCAGCAGATCAAGGCTGCAGTGGTCGTGAGCATGCCACTGCACACTAGCCTGGGTGACAGAGTGAGACTCCAACTCAAAAAATAACTAATAGTTATTCCTGCACTTAGAATTAATGCTAAGGAGGCTCTTTCTTGAACTGGTCTGCCCTCCTGTATCACTCATTTCCCCAATGTATTTTGTGAATACTTGATAGGTGCCAGGCACTTTTACTACTAGTCACTTGATCTTCATGTGAACATATGAGAGAAAAATGTTCTACATATTTAACAAATCAGAAAAAACGAGGTTAAGGAGACGACTGAAGGTGTTAGAGCTGTTAAGTGGCAGAACCTAGGTACCAATTTAGACAGTCTGGCAATGGAGCCAGCATTTGTAAGCACTAAGTCATGCATAACAGTCAATGACTGGAAAAGTCCATTTGTCAATCAGATATTTTTAGAAGAGTATCTACTGCCTGCCAAGAAACTGGTGAACAAAACAAAGCATGTCCCTTCTCAAGGTTGTACAAATCAAAAACAATATTTGGACCCTGAAGCTGAGAAAATCCAGGTCGGTAAAGATGGTAGGAATGAGAGTGGAAGGCCAGGAGCAGTGGCTCAAGCCTGTAATCCCAGCACTTTGGGAGGCCGAGTTGAGAGGATTGCCTGAGCCCACGCATTTTAGAACAGCCTGGTCAACTTGGCGAGACCTCATTTCTACCGTAAAAATAGAAAAATTAGCCGGGTATGGCAGCGTGTGCCTGTAGTTCCAGCTATTTGGAAGGCTGAGGCAGAAGGATGGCCTGAGCCCAGCAGGTCAAGGCTGGGGTGTGGTGGCCATGAGCGTACCACTGCATTCCAGCCTGGGCGACCGAGGGAGACTCCCAACTTTGGGGGGTGGGGAGAAATAAGAGTGAATACACAGGGCTGGTCAAAAATAAAATTCAGGAGTCAATAATTAGAATAAAGATGGTTGAGAAACAAGTCATTGAGTGAAAATATCCGTGTTTGCATTAGCAATTTTGTGTGATACTATACCACTTTGGATTAATGAGACCAATCGTGTGGGATACAGGTAAAATTCCATTATATTAAAATGGGCACAGTTGCTCACACCTGTAATCCCAACACTGGGCCCAGTTGCTCACACCTGTAATGCCAACACTTTGGGAGGCAGAGGTGAGAGGACCGCCTGAGCCCAGTGGTTCAAGATCTGCCTGGGCAACTTGGCAAGACTTCGTCTTTACAATAAATTAAAAACCTAGCTGGGTGTGGTGGTGTGTGCCTGTAGTTGCAGCTACTTGAAAGCCCAGGCAGAGGAATCGCCTGGGTCCGGCAGGTTGAGGCTGCAGTAGCCATGAGCATGGCACTGCACTCCAGCCTGGGCGCAAGTCTTTAAAAAAAAGACTTCCAAAAAAAAAAAGGCTAACCAGTTATGTCAGGATGTCCAACCCATGGGCCACATGTGGCCCAAGACAGTAATACAGCTCCACAAACTCTTAATATCGTGTTTTCTAGCATTTATGTTCTTCATGACCCCATGCATAGTTTCATTTTTGAAGTTCAAGTCACACCTTATTCACAACATCACTTTTTGGCAGAACATAAATTTGTGAGCAAAATCCAAACATTTCTGACAACCACCTTGAGAACCCACTAAAAATTGTGACCACTTCATCAAACCAGATATTGGTAGATTCGTTTTACAAAAGCAAGGCCAAAGTTCCCACTAGTTTTATTTTTCTAAATTTTGTAATATAAGAAAATAAAGTCTTATGTATATACACTAAGCATATTGTATAATTTATATGCAGCCCAAGACAATTGCTCTTTACTCACTGTGGCTCAGGGAAGCCAAAAGGTTGGACACCCCTGAATTATGATTATTTTCAATCTCTGTATTATTATTCTACTTTGAAATTAACCTAAAAACTAAGCATGCTGACTCCTGCCTCTAAGAAAACTATTTGAGCCTTAACTTGTTAGTAAAGGTAGAAAAGCTACAGTTACTCTCTTCAACATTTAAGTTGTTCTTTAATCCACCCATCCCTATCTCAAAATATTTTTTCATTTGGGGGAATGATACCCAAAAACTTAGTGGCTGACTTGGTTAGTGGGGTTAGGGAGTGGGAGAGGCCTTTTCATTTGGTACGTTTGGGTGATGTTTGAAGTTTTACTCATGTTATTTTTTAATGTTTAAGAAAAATTAATTTGAATTCACCAACCCTCCACTTAAAAACCAAAGCACAGTATACCCCCCAAATATCCCCTTCTCTAGTTTATGTATGTTAACATTGCGTTTACGTTTTCCAAAGTCTGATCCAAGAACCACCTGCATTTAAATCCCCTGGAGTTTTTGTTTATATGTATCCATGGATACCACCCCCTAAAATTGTTTTGGTTGGCCTGCAATAGAAGCCAGGACTCTGATTCTTAGGAGTAAAGTTTGTCAATCATGTAGTTTCCTTTTTTTTTTTTTTAAACCAGTTAATGAGTTAAGCTTTAGCTGTATGAGTGTATGAGTTCCAACTAACCAGGTTTAAGACATCTAGCCTTGGGAAAAATTCCAGTAACCTGACATTCTGGCTTCTCTGGACAGTGATCTTATCTAATTTTCCTTTCAACATTGTAAATCTATTAGGTATAAGTGGAAGAGAGTTATTTCACATGTAAACCTGTAGGTGGCCCCAAAGAGAATTATCTTCCATATATATAACAAAGGCCTATTAATAAAGAATTTGTAAGGATTTAGGAGGATCTAATATATTTAACACAACAATTCTTTAGCTTTTAAGGACCAAAAAATGCCCCAAGAATAGGTCAAATGATACATTTGTGGAGATAGAAGGGGGAAAAAAGTACACAAAAATCACGGATAGAGAGAACTACAACTCTTATGACTAATAAAAATGCAATAAAAACTATGACAGCAATAAATCAATTATACCATTTATTGATAGAATTATACTAGGAAACAATCACTACAGAAGATGAGTCTTTTGAATCAGTCTAAGTGAAACATTTCTTTGAAACAAAATATGCAAAAGATTATCAAATAAGTCAGAATAGAAGCCCTTTTGATTTATATATAGATTTATATATAGATACCTCAGCAGTGATTCCCACAAATTTCACTCCATATCACATCAAGCAATTGTTCTGTATGATTTTTTGGGGGTTTAATACCTGTATCTCAGAATAATCCACCATATTTTAGTCAGGTTTCTTGGAAACGATTTGCTCACACTGAGATGTGTGAAAGAAAAGTTATTTTTGGTCAACGGGTAAGCACTTATCCTTAGCAATAAAGGAAGGTGACAAACAGTTTAGCTTCTGAATATAAAATGGTCTATTTAACCCTATATTTTTTCGGTAAAATTTCTTTTTGGTCCTTGGTGCCTTAGTTTCGTCCTTCTGGTTTCCAGGAAAAGACAGAGGTACAGGTGAAACTGGCACTGGAGATCTTTGTGGCAGACATCTTGTGGTGACCATTTTAATCAGTGATTGAGTTGCTTGGGAAGTAGTAGGCTTGGATGAGAGTTCTTGGCATTGATTTAAGGTAGAATATTTGGGATTCTTAAAATAATCGTAAGTTGCAAACAATTGTTTTGTGCTGGGTGAACTTTTTAGAGATGGTGGTATATAATTCCATTTGTATTTGCTAGCATTGCTCCAATTCCATTTTGAAGCATTTTTCTCAAGCTTGCAAGAAACAGAATTTTTTTTTTCTTGACTTTTATCTATACAAGATATCTGAAGACTCAAGGAGTCAGATAGTTTTGGCTGTATCACTTTTGGTATAGCTTTGGAGGAAGAAGGTCGTTCAGTAACTGCTGGAGTACAGAAAGTAGTTTGTAGTCTTGGCCTCTCTTTTTGTATAGTCGTATGTTGTAATCTTTCCAGTTCCAGTAAGCGAGTTATCAAATGTTCAGTAGAGCTTTCTGGAGGTTCCACTGTTGCCTTCCAATTTTCAGATTTTGAGAGGGCTAATTTGTGCAAGTCCAGAGTATTGAAAGGAGGAGGGAGAAAATCAGAATATGGAAATACTTCATTTGGTTCCTCGGTAAAAGGTTCTTCAACATTTTCTATTGTTTCTGGCTTTAAGTTCAGGTCCATCTTTTTAAAATAGCCGAGCAAAGTATCATTTGCTTTCTCATTTTCTGATAAATCACTTTCATCTGTTAAATTTTCTTCCACACTGCTGTTTCCATATTTCAAATTCCAATTTGGAGCAGGTAAAGTTTCACCATTGTTATTTTCTACAGCTGAATGTGAATTAACATGAATCTCATTTCTGTCTTTAAAAAAGTCTCCATTAGCATAGGGCCAGCAGAGAACCAGTGGCATTGGCAGTCCAGGGTACAGACCAACTTGCTTAGCAACTGAAGTGCTTAATGAGTGGTTCAGAGTGAAGAGCCTTACAGGACTGGTTACACTAAAACCAGTTTCCACTGAAGATGTTTTGAATTCCCTTGAAAAAAAATAATTTAACTAATGAATGGCTTATTGACTAAAATTAAAATGCTATTAAAATAATATGATTAAATAAATTTTACCAAAGATTGGTTAATATTTCATTCCCAGTAGCATATGTGTTTCTAGCTATCTGTAACAAAAATATGTTAATTTCCAAATATGCTAATTATATACAACTACATAAATTTTTTAAAGTATAGAATAAAATATTAACTGTGGGGATTCCTTTGTTCAAGCACAAGTGACCAGATTATGACACCAAAAATGGCTAACTGTAGCTATTAATAGACAATAGGTTAAGACCACTTCATCAAATAAAAATTCAAATTAATTTTTCTGTAGTTATTCTAACAAAAAAGGAAATAAACAATGTCCATCAAACAAAAATTATCTCAGATACAGTCTTTAGTAATTTTCAATCTCATGGTGCTCTTCTATTTTAGGAATAATATTTTCTAGTATTATGTTAAAATGAGAACTGTAAAAAAGCCAGGCCACAGAATACTGACTTCCTAGTTAGTTTTTGTTTTTCATTTTTTTAATTTATTTACTTATTTATTTTTTTTTTTTGAGTTGAAGTCTCACTCTGTCGCCCAGACTGGAGTGCAGTGGCACGCTCCCAGCCACTGCTGGGCTCCAGCGATCCTTCCGCCTCAGCCTTTCGAGTAGCCGGAACGACAGGCGTGCATTACCACGCCCAGCTAATTTTTGATTTATTGTAGAGATGAAGTCTCACCAAGTTGCCCAGGCGGGTCTCAAACCCACAAGCTCTGGCAATCCACTCACCTCAGCCTCCCAAGGCGTGGGATTACAGGCTGAGCCACCGAGCCCAGCTTAGTTTTTGTTTTTTAAAGATAACTAGAAATACTTACATTAAAAGATTTAATACATTAGTTGACAGTATCAATATCCTCTTGCTTCTTTTAAGACCAGCTGACATTAAAGATAAAGTAATCTACAAGAGCTTTGAAAATATTCTCTATGCAAAATGACATTTAATTCATTTAGTTAAATACTAGGTACACTGTCTTGCCTTTGAAAAATCACATTAAATTGACAACTGTTAATAGACACAAGTCCATGTAGTATACTAAACAGTGTTAAATCTGGAAGTGGAAGGTGGAGGTTTGAACCCCTCGAAACAGGAAGTGAACAAAATGAAATAGTAATACCTACCTTGGAGGTAGTCTGAAAAGCAAAGCAATGTATATGATAATTGTTATCATTACTTTTATTCTTTTTACTTGTTGATGGTATATTGAGGAAGAAAATCTTAATAAAATATTTTATTGATACCAAACTTTTATCCTGCCAACACTGTTAAGCCCACCTAATATTTATAGCAAATACCTAACAAATATTGTTGTTTAGGCCTCACAACAACCTCATGAGATAGATACTTTTATTTTATACCTTTTACAGATAAGGAAACTGAGGTGTAGAGTAGCTAAGATCACACATCTACTAAGTGGCAGATCTGGGATTTGAACCCAGGTAGGTGGTAGAATCCCAAGCCTGTGGTCCTACCCACTGTATTCTACTGCTCCAATTTGTTTACTCCTCTGCTATTAGGATAAAACTCAATCGCTTCATTTGATCTCTTAACTTGAAATCCCTGTTCCTGAGTTCTTTCTCATAAAAATAGACTTTCTTATCCCCATCAGCACCAACATTCCTTTAATCACCACAATAGCACTCCTTGGTTCCTCCCTTGAATTTTAACAGAAGGTGAGATTTACCCTAGGCCTCACAGAGAGAAAATCCTCTGACTAGGAAATGGCTGCTATCAAGTGAACCACTCTATCGCTAAAACTGGATAAAAGAGAGGCATGGAACTCAGGATCCATGAACTGAGACACTATGTTAAAGTGCCACAAAGCAGTGCTCAATAAATGTTAATTTCCAAATGCTACTAGTCTGTGTTTTTAGCATGCATTCTAGCTTCTAATGAACAATGAAGTTTAAAAACCAAAAATGCTCATTCAAACCCAGTTAAGGTCCAAGAAGCAACATACTGTAGTGGCCCATAAGCATGGACCAAACTACTTTTACATCCCAGTTCTACAATTCACTAATTCTGTGACTGGGCAAGTTACTTAGCTTATCACTGTGCCTCAACACCCCTATCTGTAAAATAGGGATGATGGTAACAGTCTCTAACTTACAAGAATGGTGTGAGAGTTATATGAGTTAATACATGTAGGGAATTAAAATGGTTCCTGACTCATGGAATACTGCTTTCTGATTACAGTTCTTTTCCCTTCAATGAGAAGCTCAAACTCTGTTCATCTAACCCTTCACTGTAAGGTTGTGGTCAATTCTTAGCTCTTACCTATTCAATAATCCTTTGGTGTCTGCAGCCACTTTCTATTTTAGTGTGAATTTCTATAATTCTGGTTGTTCGTGGTTCTTGTATTTCAAATAGCTAACTCATCTGTATTTAAATTTATTTCAGTAACTTAAGGTGTTACAAAAATAAATGTTAGCTTACCTATTCTCCATGGTACTTCCTTCATTAAGAGGATAACTCCATAACCGAAATATCCCGTTTATTATTCTGATAATAGAAAAATCATAAACAGTATTTAAGCAACTGCATACATTCTTTTAAAATAACATTTTAAGAGTATGAAGAATAAAGCCTCATCTGTGTTCTTTTGTGAGTATGCTCCAACAAATTAAGCTCTAACATTAGTTGCTCTACAGGAATTTCCAAATGGTTCTATAAAGCCCTAGAAGACTTTTAAACATAATATATCTGTTCCCTATTCTCCTAAGAATGTATAGTTTTTATTCTAACCAAGGAATATATAGTAAAGTTCAATGATACGCTTTTCATACATTAAGAAATCATTTTTTTCTGATTTCATCATGAATTAGTATAATCTATTATAAATACCAATAATGTTAATTAATGAGCCCTGAATATCACTAAGATTGTCTTTATTTTACAGTTAAGTATTTTATGTTTTGATCAAAAAAGATAAACAGAAAGATCCATTTTCTACTACTTTGAACTAGATATTGATAATTTCAACTGCTTCAAGACATCTTAAGACTGAGACTACTTTCCTTGTGATGATGACAAAAAAACTCTATACTTACTTCAATGCCAATTTAATTATATGAGGGGAACCCAAAAAAGCAAATTTATTTATTTTAAAAGTATGTATTTATTCTTACACGTTTAAACGTCAGTCACCTTCAAAGTATTGGTTGGTGCAATACACCAATCAAGATGCTTTTTCCACTGCTCAAAACAGTTTTTGAACTTGTCAGTTTTGATGTCTTTCAGTGCTGCCGTTTTTTTTGTTGTGTTGTTTCACCTCTTACACATTGGTCAAACAATTCCCTTTGAGGACTTTTCTCATCCAAGGAAATAACAAAAAAAAGGCGCTCAGGGTGACTACGGAGGATGGGGCCCAGGGATCATGCTGTTTTTGGTCAAGAATTGCTGAACACTCAGCAAGGTGTGGGCAGGTGCATTGTCATGGTAGAAGAACCAGTCACCTGTGTGCCACAACTCAGGATGTTTCTTCCATAAATTGTAACACAAAACTTCCATATAAAAACTTTGGTTGACCATTTGGTCCAGGGGCCTGCCCTCCAAAAAGATAATTCTGGTTTTTTGGGGTCTTCCTCATAGTTTATACTGAAAAAACTTAATGTAGCAAAATATTGATTTAAAGACCAATTTGCACCCTGTAAAATGTTATAGCTTTGACTTGTTTGAAGAACTCTACAGAAATGGAATTTAACATCTAACTTTGATGAAGGAAATTTAAAGAACATACATATAATTTTAATATAATGTTTTGTGAATAAATTAAAACCAAATATTTATCCTTACCTTGTTAATTTTGCCTGAAAGAATATGTATGAAAAAATGACAATTAATAATTACATCAAACTGGTTCTATTCAAAACAAGCCCCCTTAATACAAGTGGTTATTTCAGTATAAATATGCGCATCTAGGATCTCTTACCACCTGCTGCACTATCCCTTCCAGGAGGACAGTCTTCAGGAACACATACTTCTGAATCCAAATCCTAGTGAGATAAGTTCTAAAATAATATTTGTTTTAGGATAAATTCAAGAAAACTTACAAAGCTCAAGCAAATAATATTAACATGTTCTTTAAGTAAAGTATGACAAAAAACGCAAAGCTTCATGACCCCTCTCCTTCATTATAAGGATACTATCAGCATCGCTGAGACAAATGTAAGTTTCTTTTATCAAATTCTTATCAGCTTAATAGTACCTGTTATTCAAGAAAGATTTTTACAATAATTTGTGATTTCATTCTCATTTTGTTAACAGTAATGACATGGGTTTTCAAAATTAACTTTTAAAAATGTAATCAAATGTCCTGTTCAGTGTGTCCCTTACACCATGGCACATTCACCAAATTTTCTGTATCTGAATACCAGATCTGACCATCGACCACAGAAATTTTTGAATCCTCACAACATATTCAATACTAAACAGCCCACTACTCATTCTGAATTCAAAAGAAAGCAAAAAAAAAACGGGGGCGGGGGAGGTACTTAAGTCTGTTAAGTATTTGTGCTCCAGACATTGTACAGAGTGCTATGGGGGAAAATGTGGGGTGTGTGTGTAGAGAGGATTTTAATAATTCATTCTGGAAAAGGGAAAGTGAAGAGTTTATTAGTTTGTAATGCAGTACTTTTTAGGAATGAACTCGGTTGTTTTCTCTCTCAAATAAGAAAAAAAAACATTTGGCGGGGCACAGTGGCTCACGCTTGTAATTCCAGTACTTTGGGAGGATTGCTTGAACTCAGGACTTCAAGACCAGCCTGGGCAACACAGCAAGACCTAGTCTCTACAAAAAGATAAGAAAAAAAAATTAGCTGGGCATGATGGTGTGTGGCTGTAGTCCCAGCTACTTGGGAGGGAGAGGTGGAAGGATCGCCTGAGGCCAGGATGTCAAGGCTGTAGTGAGCAGTGATCATGCGACTGCATACTAGCCTGGGTAACAGCGTGGGACCCCAACTCAAAAAAAGAAAAAGTAAAAAAAAAAAACTTTTGTAAATTAAACTTTAAGCAAATGAGATGTTAAGTATTATTCAGTATCCTCTCTACCGGGAACAGGAAGAAGTAAGCTTCAATACAGCATGAGGGCTTAATTTATCCACAGAGAGGAATCTTCTTATAGGAATGGTAATTGAACATTGGAAGGGAGGCTGCAGATTATCTTTCTCTGAGGGTTTTTGAAAAATAAAATTAATTCTAAGCTCTCTTATATGGATGAAGTGAAGTCTCTACATGAGAATCAACTCAGAAGCTTTTCAAAAATAATAGTGGTAAATATACATAATACATATAAAATATAGATTTATATATATACACATACACACACACACACACACACACACACACTCTAGATTCTGATTCAGTAGGATGAGGGTGAAGCCCAGTTATTTGTATTTTAAAGATCCTTTAGGGCTGAGTGGGTTAGCTCAGGCCTGTAATCCCAGCACTTTGGAGGGTTGAGAAGGGAGGACTGCTTGAGCCTAGGAATTCAGGACCAGCCTGGGCAACATAGAAAGACCTCATCTAGCATGGTGGCACAAGTCTGTAGCCCCAGCTACAGGGGAGGCTGAGGTAGAAAGATTGCCTGAACCCAGGAGGTTGAGGCTGCAGTGAGCCAGGCTCGCACTACTGCACTCCAGACCAAAAAAAAATCCTTTTGTAGCTCACAAATGTGATGAATGGGTTTTCCTGCTCACGTCTGAGATGTACCCCCTGCCCTCAAACCTTATTATGGGTTGGCATATTACCTGTGCCAAACAAAGGAGGGAAAAACAAACAAACAAAAACAACTCCCCAGTGGATTCAAGCTTCTTTCAGCTATGTAATCCTGGCAGACAAATGTACAAGATAGATGCACATTGGAGAGAAATATTCTTACTTTAAAGTGGTAAAGAAAAGTTGATGAAAACTGCGCCGTTGAGGTCATACAATAAAATTAATATAACCAAATTTGTCAACTGGTAAGGAAGGCTAGCCAACTAAACATAAAGTCAGCTAGTTTGCAAATTTCTTAAGGTTTGAGACTTGAATATATTTTTTGATATCCCACGTGCCTTACATATATTTTTCACAAGGTATGTGTGAGAAAATTAAAAAGTAAGCACTGCCTGATTGGTAACAAGGCAGCATTTTTAATGCAATTCACTTGAAACAAGAAATGTTTTCAGATTTGAAGAATAGCTGGTTAACTTTCCCACTATTAAAATAAATAAAAATTTGCTCTCCCAAATGTGCCAAGAGGAAAACTCAGGACAAACTGATAACACAAAAGCAGCCAAGGAATCACCACAGGAAGACTCACATTTAAGCAGCAGGAGCTGTGCCCCAATGCTCAAGTTCAACAGCATCTTGCCATACCTCATGAGACATGTGTGACACAGGTAAGTTGGTGCCACTGTTCTCATAATTTCTTTTCCCCATTTTGTAGTGGCTGCTCCTCTGTTTCTTTAAAATCCTACACAGGTTGTGAGAACATTTATAAGTAAGGTTAAGCTTTTATAAAAAAGAAAGCATGAGTTCTGACTTCCCATCTAAAAGAGGTTAAGATGATGACTGGAAAGCAGCAGAGAGGGATTATCAGGGCAGGGGTTAACAGGATGAAATCAACTAGAAACACAGAGCAAGCCAGACTCTCCCCCCACCCCCAAAAGGGGCACAGACAAGCAAACTGGAGGATCTAACTAACAGAAGATTAGGAAATGAAACTCAGAGGTGAGAAAGGAGACATCAGAGAAAACGATGTAATTCAAACTGGAAAAAAATACAGTGAATTAAGTGGACCGTAAAGTCTGCTTTTAATCCTTCAAAACAAGTGTTCCATTTGAAAGCAGGTCTTAAATCTTACATACAGGTAGAACAAGCGCCCCAGGCATGTCTCAGGGTTGGGACTTCTTTATACTTTTTGATATCCTTTACCTAAAAGACCCACAGGACCAAACAATACTTTCCACACCAAACTCTCAAGGAGCCTAAAACACCCACTATCGTTTAAAGTATTAGAGAACAGGATAGGATAACAAGTAATCACTGGATCAAGGTATGGCCATCTGGAAAGAATCACACATTAACGTCACCGCAGTAATCAAAATATTTGCTAATAATTTGCTATTTATTGTCTCCTAGAGAAAGGTGTGTCCTAAAGAAACAGATACAATTCAGGTAGGTTTTCAACACACATGAATCGATCCACCTGCTATGAGATGCCAGGCACCGGGTTTGAAGACTGCAGAAGGAAAAAGGCTGCCAAGTCGGTGGCTGCCTGGGCCACCAAGGTGTGTGCCCTGGAGGGCACCCAGCACGGGAAAAGGCCACCACACCCGGAGGAGGGGCCTGGAGACAAGGCCTTCGTGACTGCGAATCCTGGGAAAGAGGGGCCAGACGGCGGGGGTCGCGTGTCTGCAGGGCGGGGTGCCCTTTCCCCTGGGCTGTGGCCGGCCGGAGTGGGGGGCAGGCCACGCGCGGCGGGAGCGGGCTCGCGGCCCGCGGGGTCTCGGGCCTCTTGGCCCACGGCGCCGCGCGCGCGCTCCC